ATAGTTCAGGGACCAAAATGGGGATTTAACCTAAAATTTATGGTACTAAATCGAAGCAAACTGATATATATATATATATATATATATATATTTTTTCTTTTGTTTTGTTGAAAACATGAATCTGACCACACTTAGGTTTTGGCGCAGTGCTCTTAGACCACCCATAAAGTACATCTTCCTCTTTTGCATGACTGTTTGGATCCCATTTTTTGTAAATTTGTAAAATAAATAAATAAATAAATAAAAAACATGAATCTGACCGAGTAAAATGGATGGACTGTTAATGAAAAGAGACTAGCCAATGCCTTTTTGGGTGTCCATTTTCTTGGGAGGGGAGTGAATTTGTCTTGAATGTCTGAGACAAGACCCTAGGGCCTAGGCGTCCGACCGATGAGTACAACAAAAAAATTGAAGCCACAAATATAATAGATGATGGAGAAAAGGCCACGTTTTTAGTGGAAATAAACATGTTCGATGGAGACGGGGTTTTTTGGTGGCTGAAACCAATATTGAGCCCTCACTTTACAAAATTGATAGGTTTTAGTCCTTAACCTTATAATATAATATTTTTAGCCCTTTATCTTACAAAATTAGTAGGTTTTAAACCTTCACCTTACTACGAACTGAAGAAAATAGCTTTTATTTAACATCAGATTTTAACGTTCTATTAGTTCGGTTAATTGATTATCATTTCTGTTAGCTAACTGTCAATTTTATTAGTTGACTGTTAGTTTTGTTAGTCGACTATTAACATCCATTAGTATTCCGTTAATGAAATTAACAAATAAAATTGAATTTAAATTTCATTTTTTTAATAACGGAATGCTAACAGATGTTAACAGTCAACTAATAGAACTAACAAAACGTTATAACCTGATATTAAGTGAGGGTTATTTTTTTTAATTCATATCTGTGATGGGCTAAAAATATCATAATATAAGGTAAATGGTTAAAACCTACCAACTTTGTAATGTGAGGGACTAAAACTTACCAACTTTGTAAGATAAAAGACTAAAACTGTCATATTATAAGATGAGGGTAGGGCTAGGCATAGTATGGTATGGTTACCATACCGCTCTCAAATGATAGTAACCGTTTTAAGTGGTAATGAAAAAAATTTACCACTTCCATACTAATTGATGATTTTTTGGTAATTGCTGCCAACCATTTTTTAACGGTAATGAAACTTGCCTTATCAATACCATCCCATATTATCATCTTTAAACTTATTTTTTCCATTATCAATTAATTCAAGTCATTCAAAATTCAATTTTAAAAGCTCAAAATATCTTAAAAACTTATTTTCACCATACCGTTCTTCATCATCTTGAAGCATACAAATATATAATTATAC